TTCGAGGCCCGAATGGTATACGACTTTTCGGGGGCCGAATCCGGGACCCGAATGGAACAGCTTTTCGGGGCCCGAATCGGGGCCCAAATCGAACAACTTTTCGGGGCCCGGGGCTCTTGGCTGTGGATGTTTCTCCAGGGGCTCTTTGAGGCCACCGTTTCAATCTGCACATTTGTGTCCACCAGCCATCTTTTCGGGGCCCGAATGGAATGACTTTTTCGGGCCCGAGCCCAGTGCCCGAATGGAACGGTTCTTCGAGGCCCGAACGGGTAGTTTTTTCTTGTGGCGCTTGAATACTTTGTGCAAGTTGGACTTTTTTGTTTTTTGGGGATCTAAAGCTTGACTTGCCGGTAGTTGAACCTTTCGACCATTGACAAACTCTTATGGGCCAGCATTGAAAAGATCTGGGCAGGGGGTGGACTCTCGCTACTTTCTTTGTCAAGCTCCAGCCGCCTGACTTCACGTCGCCGTTGCCAAAGGGGGCGTGCCATGGTTGTGATAAAGAGCGAGCTGGGGGAGATGAAGAACACCAAGAAGCTGCAGGCCGACCCCGTGAATGTCAAAACTGCAACTAAGAGACGGCTTGGAATAACAGTTCAGTCAATAATTGTAGTATGTGTTTTATTATCTCTTCAACTGTGTTCTTGAGCCTGCCCAAAACATCTTTGCAAACTGCGCTGGGCCAGGTACGAGAACAGCCGGCGCTGCAACATCCGTGTGCGACTTCGCCAAGGAAGAACTATTGAATCTCCAAAACCATGATGAGTTGCTTGCTGAAGTAGATCGGCTGCGGCTGGACAATGACTCCATGAAGAAAGAATTAGATTTCTGGACCAAAAGCACTACCATGGGTGCACGGGACTGGTGTGACCGTCTCCGCCAGGCTGAGCAGAAATTCCGTGAAGCAGCTGAAAAGAAAGCGCGGCTTGAAGAGGCCCTGCGTGATTTAAACAGCAAGTTGGACCAGTATGACAAACTGCGCTCGCGCAGTTTGTTTTGAGGCGAAAGCAGCCAGCGCCAGTGCCTGAGGCAAACCTGGCAGCTGCCATATGACGGGGTCTCACTGGCGCTGTCCAGCTGTATCTCTTTTCCATTGGCATGGGGCAATGCCGGAAAAAAAGAGAGCAGCTGCGCGTTCACGGCCTTTTGCTTCTTGCTTATCGGCTGCTAAGGTGGCCAACGATTGTAACCAGTAGGCTGCCAAGTTCCCCTGCTGCATGTTTCTGCCCAAGCGGATCCCGCCCCTTCCCTCTTGACTTTCTTCTTTGGGTCCTTTTGGCCATGCAGCAACGCAAGTCAAGTTCAAGCCACCTCGGAGTAAGAGCGCATCCCAAAATTCTTCCCCCCCTCCCCCCTCCCCCCTCCCTCCCCAAGATTTTCGGCAAAAAAAACACTTCCGAAAAACGGATTGTTTTGACAAAGAACGCGCACGCGAAAAAACAAGGTTTTCGGTCCAAAAAAAGCACCAAACAAAAAGGCATAAAAAGCATGTCCTTAATGACCGGCCAGGTATGTGGAGAACCTGCCAAGCATCGTACGCTGTGGGCTAGTCCCCGGCGGGATCGATGGCGGCAACAGGCTGGCATTGCACTTCGGAGCATTCGCTCCATGGGAAGAGATGAACGTAGCAACGAAGGTGACGCTACGAAACGTAAGGACGGGTGATCCGATTGCGATCATCTACATTCCCAGTGCAACCCTCGCGCGATATGGAGCTGGAGTCGCGGCCAATGGGACATTCATGGTCTTCGACGTGATCCCGTTCTATGAGGTCAAATCCATTTGGATTGGCAAAAGCAACGGAGGGAAATGCCTGGAGTACGCGGACACCAAACGAGCGTACTCAAAATGTGTGGAGAACGAGATCTGCCCGGGTTTCGTCAACTCATCCCAAGAGTCGGCTGCGATGTTTCTTCAGAACGTCGCAAAGATCAACGAGAGGATGCCTGAAACCGAGGCAGGTGCCGACAACCTGCACTACATCAAAGACATGGTTGATCGCGCATGCAAACTGTATCAGGATAACAAGTTGGAGGAGTTTGATGCGCAGACCAACAAGATCAGGGACGAGATCAGCAAAGTCGTCATCATGAATGACGAGACATGGGAAGGACTGAGGTGCCGGATATGTCCGTCATGTGCGACCGCGATCCCCACATGCTTCTGCTTGTGCCTGGAATGTGGAGCGCAACTGATCTCCACCGGGAGATTCTGCATCCACATCAGCTCCGACGATGATGAGGACAACCAACGACCCAACGTCTCGGGTGATGCCAGGCGTGCACAAGATGAAGCTAACCTGGGTGCGACAGCGCAAGAAGAGGATGATGAGGCGGAGGAAGTTCCTCAAAAAGATGACATGGACACGCAAGGATATACATCCGGCTACATGTCTGAGGAGGAAGATGGCGGTTGGCAATACCGCGACACTGATTTGACATCACGGGATATTATAAACACCCAGCGGATGGCGATTTGCCTTGATGAGCCGCGCGAAGCTCAATACATGGCGGGATTCATCGCACTGCAGATGTCAAAGATGTGGGGGATGTTTGAAGGTGGTGAAGCGAGGACGATGAATGCCGCGCTCGAAGGGAAGCCAGGCTGCCCTTACCACAACGATTTCATGAAGTACCCCAACATAACAGAACACGATCAGGAAGGAATCCTTTTGCCATCGTCGGTACTGAAGATTTCTCAATCTCAGAACGTTCGAACAAGGGTTTTCCGGTCGGAGGAGGAGCAAAATGAATACATCCGTCTGCTGGTATACAAGTGAGAGGGGCTATATATATTCTACAAGCTGTGGATTGCAGCAAGAATCCTCGACGTCACAAAGGACGAGATGAAGCTCCTGGTCAAGGATCGCGTGCACCCGGTGGGTGATATTATTTTCAGATGCTTTGCCCTGGCTTTCAACTGTAAGTACATGTCATTCGTGAGGGATGACCTGAGCCTTGGCAAGTATGGTTATTCGGTAAATGTGAGCGCCATCATTGCGGCCATCGATCCGAATAAATGTGACACACCTCTGCTGGATTGGTGCCTCCGAATGGGGCATTGGATACCAGAAGATCATAACAAGAAGTGTGTCCGGGCGCGAGATGCCCAGAAGAATTTGGACGAAGAGTTCCGTCGGCGCACCCACAGATTGTCCATTGGGGACAGGTATGCGTAATGCAGATGTGGATTGCGGCACGATGTGGGCTAGTCCCCGTCTGTTGCTTGCATCTCATCAACGTTATTACGACGGAACGATTCTACATCATGATATGATTTCATGCGTCCAAGATGAATGGATGTGTATACATTTACATATTCCGACGACTATGGCATTCCGGATATTCATGGATGGAACTATTACCTCATGGATGATTTCTTTTTCATTATATATATTATTCATGGTACCTGGAATGGCTATGCTTTGCATTGATTGCTCACCGATATTCTTCTGCCGGTGATATGCAGATTGCTTACGAGCAGGCGCTTCTATTGAGCTTCTATGGCCAACCCATTTCTGTGGATGACGGCTGCGCGATGCGCAAATGCGGCAGCTGGGATGTTCAATGGTTGTCAAATGACGTGACGATAGTGTATATATTACACCTGCATATGGGAATGTGCTACGATTTGCGGATGCATGTTTCATTTTCAATCGAACCCGGCATGTTTCACAATGAATGAACGGTGTAGCGATAGCGAGTGAAAGAGTGCACGACACAGTTTCGTAGCTGAAGCCGTGGCCAGTGGAACGTTTTGTGGTGTTTGGACCGCATGATGAACAATGCGACCCAAATGGGGGATGTTAAAACCCTCCTGGCCCCGTGCCTAAATTGGGAAGCAGTTCTGAGGTCCGTGTTTGTGTTGCTTACAAGGTTCCATTGATTGCCATTTGGCTCAAGACACAAGTGAGGTTCAAGATCTTATGTGTAGCTGCGTTCATACGTGATCGGCAATTGAGAGCGGAAAACACTTCGCTTGCGCTGCATTTGTCAGGACCACTGTTGTAACTATTATTCCTTCTCCCTTACAACATTTGCACGGGTTCGGCTATAACGGTTTGACCGTATACACCTTTCTACGTGGTTGGTATTACAGCTGGAGGGTTCGGTGAACAGCGTCCCACGGGACGTCACCTTGCCGTCTCTTGACACTCAGCAAGAGGCACGAGCAGCCAAAGAAGCTTATGAGGAAAGGCTGGCTGAGCTTGAAGCTGAGGCTGGCACATGCAACCCAGAGCAGGCAGCTAAGAGGAGAAGGCTGGTGGAAGGTGTTTTGTCAAAGAGACTGCAGGGCCTGCCCAGAAATGACCTGAGAAAGAACCGCAGGCTTGAGCTCTCAGCCAGCAAGAAAAAGTCCATAGCTGAGGACTTGGAGGCTGAGCAGGCCAATTTCACAGATGACAAGAGCTTTTGGAGAGCCATGTGCTTGAAGTATATGCTCCCTAAGAAGGAGCTGGCTCGTCCCCTTGCCCGAAAGGATCGTTGGGCTGAGCTGGCTGCTAAGCCAATTGTGAACAGGAACCAAAGGAACAAGCTCAGGAAAAGACTTCAAGGTGCTGGTAGACAGGTTCCTTACCCTGGCATTGTGAAGCACTTGTCTCAGTGGCTTGCCTTAGAGAGGAGCTTTGGCCACACCGTGCTGCCCCAAGATGTCAACACATCAGCAAACAAAGACTCAGCAAAAGCACAAGACAAGAAGCTGTCAGTTCTGCAGCAGCACAAATTTGCTGAGGAGGCTGCTGGAAAAAAGGAGAGGTCTAAGAAGCTCCAGGCCTCAGGTACATACAGAAAGACCTTCAGCAAGAGGCTGAGATGGATGGGTGCTAAGTTCACAACTGCTGAGCTTGTGAGCACCATCTCACCCACTGAGGCTGAGGTGAGGTGCAAGCTGACCTGGCAGGAGTTTGACTACACCCTGTGGCTTGCCTCCCTCAGCCCACTTGGCAGCCACATCAGGTTAAGGACTTTTCTGAGGTGAGGCTGGCAGTGCCTGAGGCCATGAGGACTGATGAGCCTGCTGAGATGCTTGTGCTGCCAATTGGCTACAGCACCCCAACTAAGAAGAATGCTCTTCAGGATGGCCAAAGCCCTGCTTCCACTCTTGCTCGCTCAGACACTGCAAACTCCCTGGACACCACACCAGCTGTGAAGAGGAAGCTCAGCTTTGACACACCACTGCAGCACTCAGAAAGCAGAGGCTCCTTAGAAGAATGCTTGGAGCAGCAGCTACTTGAGGAGCCCAGCCCAGCAGAGAAGATGCCTGAGAAGCTTGAGCCAAAGCCCAGCCCAGAGCAGAAGAGTCCTGAGGAGCTTGAGCCAAAGCCCAGCCCAGAGCAGAAGAGTCCTGAGCCAAAGTGTGAGGCAAAGCCTTTGCCTAAGGCTGGAAGCCTCAGCATCCAAGGCAACTCAGCAGATGACAGGTTCAGGATCACCTATGAGGCCAGGCAGCTGATCTATGGTTTGTGCAACCCTGATGAGCCACCAAGTGGTGATGTGGGCAAAGGCCTCTTGGTTGTGCCAGGCCAATGGGCAAGGCTGAGCAACATCTCTGAGAAAGGCACTTCGATCAAGACAGAGACCTTTCAAGTTGGTGAGAAGACAATCACCCACTCAGCTGGAACCTCAGCTGGCAGAGCCTTGGAAGGCTTCAGAAAGGTCAGAGCTTCGCACCCCGACCTTGTATCTCAGCTTGAGATCATGAGCCAGCCAGCTTCCAATGTGGACTCAGTCATTCTGTGCTGGTGCATTGAGGCCCAAGCAGCTCAATACCCTTGCTCAGTCTGGCAAAGGGACTGCTTCAGCCAAGTGTTTGCTGAGTCTGCCACCAAAAGCATGGCCTTGGCTCAGCAAATCTCCTGCTTGGTTGCAGCAAAGTGCACTTCCAAGCTGCAGATCACAGACTCTGACTTTGCCAAGCAGTTCAAGAGCTTAGTCACAGGGTGGCCACGGTTAGGTTCGGTTCGGTTCGGTTTCTGAAACCTTTTGAAAACCTTTCTCCGGTTAGTGGCGGTTACTGATAACCTTCCAAAACCTGCCGGTTTGCACGGTTAGTGCAGAAAAGTAAGATAAGGCTCTAGGTAACTCAGTCTGCTTTCGCCCACACTTCGCCAACTTCCACATCTCTGGCATCGCCATCCATCTGACATCGCCATCCCACACCACACACACAGACACAATTACACACACAAACACAAACAAACAAACGAACAAACAACCAACCAACCAACCAAGCAAGCAAGCAAGCAAGCAAATAAACAAACAAACAAACTCACAAACACAAAAACAAACAAACGAACCATGCCACTGACTGATGCTGAGCATGTTGTTCCGCGCACGTGGCCTTGGGAAGCATCTCAGAAGTCAAATCTCAAAAGCGAAAAAAAAAACAAGTCACTGACCGCTGATGGGTCACTTTTTTTCTTGCCAAATTTCAGCGGTGTTTCGTGTGTTGCGAGCACTGCGGAAGCAACAATCAGAACCAGAAGCGGCCAATAATGCGGGTTTGTTGCCTTGACACGTGCAGCAAAGGGGCCTCAGCTGCGGTGGCCTGCTAAGCGTGCCAAAAGTTCTGGCAATCAGGCTGGTGGGCCGTTGGGGAACGGCAGGGCAGGCCCAGGGCAAGGCGGCAAGGCGCCGGGAGAGCAAGCCCTTACAGTGACAGCGGGCAACTCAGTTTTCCTCCCGTTCGGCCCGCGAGAAACTGTTCCAATCCAAGCCGGGCTGCGCAAAAAACAACCCACTGACCGTCAGTAAGTTGTTTTTTTTCGCGCTGCTGGCGCAGCCAGGCTGCAACAGGGTGCTCGGGCAATCCTGCGGGAGCAGGGGGAGTTGGTGAGACAGGTCAGGTTGATGCTCGGACATGTAGCTATTCCAAGAGTCCAGGCAAAGTTTGCGAAATCCCCTTGCTGCCGCTTTGGAACGGGATCCCGTGGCGGTGCTGTTGGCGACGCTGTCTGCGCCAAAGCCGTCACTGACCGCTCGTGGGCCGTTTTTTTGCGCGGTGTTTTGTGTGTTGCGAGCACTGCGGAAGCAAAAATCAGAACCAGAAGCGGCCAATAATGCGGGTTTGTTGCCTTGACGCGTGCAGCAAAGGGCCCTCAGCTGCAGTGGCCTGCTAAGCGTGCCAAAAGTTCTGGCAATCAGGCTGGTGGGGCGTTGGGGAACGGCAGGGCAGGCCCAGGGCAAGGCGGGAAGGCGCCGGGAGAGCAAGCCCTTATAGTGAACAGCGGGCAACTCAGTTTTCCTCCCGTTCGGCCCGCGAGAAACTGTTCCAATCCAACCCGGGCCGCGCAAAAAAAAACAACCCACTGACCGTCAGTAAGTTGTTGTTTTTTCGCGCTGCTGGCGCAGCCAAGCTGCAACAAGGTGCTCGGGCAATCCTGCGCGGGCAGGGGGAGCTGGTGAGATTGATTGATGCCAAATTTTAGCAGTGTTTCGTGTGTTGCGAGCACTGCGGAAGCAAAAATCAGAAACAGAAGCGGCCAATAATGCGGGTTTGTTGCTTTGACGCTTGCTGCCCCTGCAAACCTGGAGACGGTTCGGTTTCTGTTCGGTTCGGTTCGGTTCAGTTTGTGGTTTGTTTCCGGTTTTCTTGCGGTTTTGAAAACCGGCTCGGTTAACCGGTTTCCGGTTCGGTTTTCAGCCTTCCTGTAGTCAGGTCCAAGCTTGTGAGCCTCAGGCAAGAGCATCAAGCCCTGAAAACTGCTCAGAAAGAGGCTTGGAAGGTTGGCCCTCTTGAGATAGTCAGGTCTGTGGTGCATGCTCAGTGGCAGATGTCTGAGAAGAACTGCGAAGACCAGTGGGTGCTTGCAGCAGCAGTAAGGAATGGCATCTTAGCATACACACCCAACACTCAGACTGGCAAGCTTGCCATTGTCACTGAGCAGCACTGGGCTAAGAAGGCTGGCTTTCAGATGGGCAGCAAGAGGTTCCCACCTGAGTGGCTCAGAGACAGGCTGAAGTGGCTTGAAGCTGATGGCAAGCCCAAGAAGGCAGACTGGAGCCTGAGCAGGTCAGCATCAGCCATCTCAGACCTCGTGCGGTGGGACTACTACAACCCTGAGGAAGACAAGGAGGCTGAGGTGGATGCTGAGCCAGACATCCAAGATGAGCTTGCACCAGAGCTTGAGCTGAGCTTGCAAACAGCCTGAGTTTGAGGCTGCATCCTCGCCTGAGAAGGCAGGCCTGGAGAAAGGCTGCTGAGGAGAAAGTAGCTAAGGGGACTGCCTTAGAGAAGAAGAAGAAGAAGGACTGGAGGCAAGGCTGGAGGAGCAAGCTCAGACCCAGCATTGTTGCAGGGCTGAGGTCTAAGCTGCTTGGCAAGTCCAGAGAGGAGGCCTTAGCAGAGCAAGTGCCTGTGGTTCAGAAGAAGGCTAAGGCAAAAGCAGGAGCTAAGAAAGTGAAGCTGGCCTCATTTCTGAAGCCTTCAGCCAAGACAAAGCCATCACTTGCCAACAAGCCTTCTGCTAAGAAGAAGTCTGCTAAGAAGCAAGCCTTGAAGACCTTGGCAGACAAGCAGCTGCCAGCTGTGAAGCCTCAGCAGGAAGCACCCCCTTTGCCACCACCTTCTCAGCCACCACCTGAGGAGCAGGAGCAGGAGCAGGAGCAGGAAGGTAGGAGAATCTTTTCTCAGGGCAGGTACTCCTTGCTCACAGCTTCAGGCACTTTCCTCATCCCTGAGGAGTGGCTGTGTCTGCTAAACAGCAGGCCAGACACAGCAGCCTTTGTTTGGCCAAATTTCAGGCAGCTTGCAAAGTCAGAAGTGAGGGGCATGCTGAGCAGCCTGGCCTGCTCTCCAGTGCTTGTGCTGAGCATCATGGAGTTCCCAGCCCATGACCTCATTCAGTTCCCTGACCACAAGGAGCCACTGCTGGTTGAGGATCAGTGGCTGTGGGCTGGCTGGCACATGCTGAGATGGGGGCTGCTCAAAAGCACAAAGCAAGTGCCTGAGCACTTCTCAATCACCTGTGTGGACCCAGCTGTGCCAGCACTCCTGAAAGAGTTCCCCACTGAGATGTTTGAGGAACGGGCTGAGAACTTGAAGCAGGCCATGAGATCCTTCAAGAAGGTCTTCTTTCCAATCTTCTCAGCCAACCACTGGACCTTGCTGGTGGCTGAGAAGGAAAGCTTGGAGCAGAACTCAGGCTTCGCGTGGAAGGTGTATGACTCCCTTGAGCAAAGAATGAAGGCCTCAGCAGAAGCAGAAACAATGGTAGGCAGCCTTGTCGACCCTGAGTTCACCTTGCCTCAGAGAACCAACTCAGTCTACCAAAAGCAGGGCAGCCTTGATTGTGGCTTCTTTGTTCTGGGTTGGATGGAGGAAGAGCTGAGGGTCTCCAGAGGTGAGTGGCTCAGAGCTTGGATTGAGCACACCTCAGCCTTGTGGAGAGAGAGGCTGATGAAGCTCTTCCAACACTTAGCCAAGGAGAGGGCTGTCATTGAGAAAGAGCTTGCGCAGCAAAGAAAAACCATTGAGAAGCAGGAGGCTAAGCAGCTGGAAAACAAGGCAGCAGCTGAGGCCAGGCTGGAGCAGATAAAGAACAAATCCTCAGCAGCAGCTGAGGCAGCCAAACTAGCAATCAAGAAAAACTCTGAGCGCTTCACTTGGCAGGATCTCTCAGCCACAGCAACCAACAAGATCAAGTCGCTTGAGCACTCCATCTGCATTTGCTCTAAGTGCAGGTGGCAATCTGGCTGTGCTGAGTGCGACCCCTGGAAGGCTCTGAGGTATCTGGTTGTTCAGGAGGCAAAGGCTGCTAAGAAGATCCCCTTTTCAGGACTGTGGGCAGTTTAGAAAGACTGAGATTTGATACTGAGACTGCGCAGGACCAGAAGATGTGGCCAAGCTTCTGAGCAAGGCTAGCTCAGAACCAGCCTCCAGCTCAACAGGAGCTACCAAGGCTTAGAAACCCCTTTTCAGGACTGTGGGCAGTTTAGAAAGACTGAGATTTGATACTGAGACTGCGCAGGACCAGAAGATGTGGCCAAGCTTCTGAGCAAGGCTAGCTCAGAACCAGCCTCCAGCTCAACAGGAGCTACCAAGGCTTAGCAAGTTTAGCCTCAGCCCGAGCAAATCCAGAAAGCGAAGAAAACAGCTGTGCGTTTTTTTTAGATTTTTCTGGGGGGGCAAAAAAACTTGCCACAATAGCGAACCGTTAAAACAGTCACAGGATTCTGAATTAGGAAAAAATTTTTCTACAATAGCGACCACTAATAATAAAGGAGGTCCAACATTAGAGAGCAGCTGTTGAGACTGAACGTGAACTTGATAGCTTAAGACCGATGTGAGAACGATGTGCGCTTGGCACTTTGCACAGTTGCTGGCCTTCTGTGTTTTAGCCCATGCAGCCTTTGCCGTCCGCGAGTGTTTTCTGTCTTTTGCACAAGCCAAGACTTTGTGGGATAGCATGCTTTTCGCTTTGCCAGAGCTGGCTTGGTGCACACACCCTTCGGGCAACATGTCGCCGACCTCCATCCGGAAGCATGGATGGCAGGTCATTTTCTTTTGTTGCTACACATCTTGAACGCAACTGACTCAGAGAGAGAGAGCAGCTGTTGAGGCTGTACGAGAATTTGATAGCTCGAGAACGATGTGCGCTTGGCACTTTGCATAGTTGCTGGCCTTCTGTGTTTTAGCCCATGCAGCCTTTACCGTCCGCTTAGCCCTCTCAAATAGTGGACACCCATGTGTATTTGCGAGTGTTTTTGTGTTTTGCACAAGCCGAGACTTTGTGGGATAGCATGCTTTTCGCTTTGGCAGAGCTGGCTTGGTGCACACCCTTAGGGCAACATGTCGCCGAGCTCCATCCGGAAGCATGGATGGCAGGTCATTCTCTTTTGTTGCTACACATCTTGAAAACAACTGACTCAGCTTACATGCTTCAACTGGAACGCTCAGGGTGCAAGAGTAGGGAGCAGCTGTTGAGACTGTAGGTGAGCTTGATAGCTTAAGACCGATGTGAGAACGATGTGCGCTTGGCACTTTGCACAGTTGCTGGCCTTCTGTGTTTTAGCCCATGCAGCCTTTGCCGTCCGCGAGTGTTTTCTGTCTTTTGCACAAGCCAAGACTTTGTGGAATAGCATGCTTTTCGCTTTGCCAGAGCTGGCTTGGTGCACACACCCTTCGGGCAACATGTCGCCGACCTCCATCCGGAAGCATGGATGGCAGGTCATTCTCTTTTGTTGCTACACATCTTGAAAACAACTGACTCAGCTTACATGCTTCAACTGGAACGCTCAGGGTGCAAGAGTAGGGAGCAGCTGTTGAGACTGTAGGTGAGCTTGATAGCTTAAGACCGATGTGAGAACGATGTGCGCTTGGCACTTTGCGCAGTTGCTGGCCTTCTGTGTTTTAGCCCATGCAGCCTTTGCCGTCCGCTTGGCCCTCTCAAATGGTGGACACATGTGTATTTGCGAGTGTTTTTTGTGTGTTTTGCACAAGCCAAGACTTTGTGGGATAGCATGTTTTTCGCTTTGCCAGAGCTGGCTTGGTGCACACACCCTTAGGGCAACATGTCGCCGAGCTCCATCCGGAAGCATGGATGGCAGGTCATTCTCTTTTGTTGCTACACATCTTGAAAACAACTGACTCAGCTTACATGCTTCAACTGGAACGCTCAGGGTGCAAGAGTAGGGAGCAGCTGTTGAGACTGTAGGTGAGCTTGATAGCTTAAGACCGATGTGAGAACGATGTGCGCTTGGCACTTTGCACAGTTGCTGGCCTTCTGTGTTTTAGCCCATGCAGCCTGTGCCGTCCGCGAGTGTTTTCTGTCTTTTGCACAAGCCAAGACTTTGTGGGATAGCATGCTTTTCGCTTTGCCAGAGCTGGCTTGGTGCACACACCCTTCGGGCAACATGTCGCCGACCTCCATCCGGAAGCATGGATGGCAGGTCATTTTCTTTTGTTGCTACACATCTTGAACGCAACTGACTCAGAGAGAGAGCAGCTGTTGAGGCTGTACGAGAATTTGATAGCTCGAGAACGATGTGCGCTTGGCACTTTGCATAGTTGCTGGCCTTCTGTGTTTTAGCCCATGCAGCCTTTGCCGTCCGCTTAGCCCTCTCAAATAGTGGACACCCATGTGTATTTGCGAGTGTTTTTGTGTGTTTTGCACAAGCCGAGACTTTGTGGGATAGCATGCTTTTCGCTTTGCCAGAGCTGGATTGGTGCACACTCTCTTCGAGCAACATGTCGCCGAGCTCCATCCGGAAGCATGGATGGCAGGTCATTCTCTTTTGTTGCTACATGTCTTGAACGCAACTGACTCAGATGAAGTGCTTTAACTAGGGGGGCTCAGGGTGCGGGAGAGCAGCTGTTGAGACTTTACATGAGTTTGACAGCTCAAGAACGATGTGAGTGTCTGTGTGTGTGTGTTTGTGCTTGGCGCTTGCCACAGTTGCTTGCCTTTGTGACTTTGCCGATACAGCCTGTGCTGTACGCTTACCACTTTCCGTGCTTTAGACTTTGTGGGATTGCATGTTCTTGACCTTGCCACATTTAGCTTGGTGCAGAGATCCATTTGGCAACACGTCGCGCTTAAATTTATTCCGCTCTGTTCGCATGGAAGTCACACCGGGATTCCACGCGCTTGGCTGTGGCTTTTCAGAACCAGTGTTTTGCATCCTGTTATGTAGACCCGCACTAGGACGTTGCCCGCGCTGACTTCCTCAATCAGCACCCCGCACGGCACACAAATTTGGGCGCCAACGCACCGACTTACATGGGAGGGCGTACAGTTTCATTCGGCGCCACACCTGGTCTAACCGTCCGCCCCGATGGCGTTTGTGTTTCGGGCGAGCCTTCGTGAGTCTTGAGAACAAGTTCCACTTCGTAATGCGCTATCGTGTCCTCTCAAGCTTCATCCACAAGCATGGACGGCAGGTCAGTATCTTTTGCTGCTACATGTCTTGGACTCAACTGAATCAGCTTTGGCAGCTTTAACTGAATGATCAGGGTGCAGGTTTGCTTGCTCCAGAATGACATGCGTTTGGTACTGAGCGCAATTGCTAGCCTTCTGTATGTTTGGCCGATACAGCATGCACTGGACGCTGCGCGCCACGGCGTGAACAGGTTCAAACATGGGTTGCCAAGGATCACTTAGGCAACCTCAACTGCAAGAGCTCAATGCAACATAGTGCGGAGAAGGGATTTCCAGTCTGAGCTTGTTTGCTCAGGTGGAGCAGATTGCCGAGCGCCGAGATTCAGTTCAGAGCTAGTTGCCGTTGCAACTATAATTGAGAGGCACATGGAGGTGAGAAGTGGAAATGTGTCCGAAATCAGGATTCTTTTTTGGTGGCTGGTAAAATGAAATGCAGACCCTTGAGGATTCCAACCCGATTTTTTCCAGTTGTGCTCTGCATGTCTTAAATGGTCAATGAAAAGTCATGTTCAACTCTGGCTGTGGATTCACCCTGTCACTGGCGGGCTCCATCTCTGATCTTGCACAGTGCGCTGCCCTCATTGTTTGGCCACGGGATTCCTAGCCCTATTGCCAGACTATCCAAGTGACCTCCACAAGGCTGGCAAGGCAAAAATATCAAGCATTTTGGGAGGTTCTCCTTTGCCAGTTGGGGGATAGGCATAGTCGGTTCGGTCAAGGTCCGCTCAGAATTTACATGCCTACACACCTCTTCAGCTGCCTTGAAGTCTTGTTCAGTTCCAAATCCCAGGAATGGGAAAGAAATACAACCCTGCAGCACTTCTTGGTAATCCCCTGCAACAGCCAATGAAATCGAACTGATGCTGGTGCAACACCCTTAGCTTCTTCAGAACTGCGCAATCCTGTCTTGCCATTCATCAACCCCTAATAACAACCCCCAGCCGACCCAAAAAGTTGCCAAGACTTAATTTAACTACCCAATACTAAACCAATACTAAACCAATACGAAACTCTTTTGAAGCCAGATTCACTCAGCGAAACTCTGCGGATGTGCTTATTCGGGGTCACCAAAGGGTTGCCTTACGTGACAAGGGTTTTATTCTTAGGGTCTCCATTGCGTCCTTGAGAAGGTTTCGTTTTGAAAAAGACAAGGGCGCCTTCCCTTTAACAGTTCTTACTCGGAAGTTGCATTTGAACACTGTTTCTGCAGATCAAAGGGTCCCCCTATCCTATTTGATGCCAGGACTAAGCAACCAGTTTGAAACAGTTCTGGCCCAAAAACCAGCAACCCTAATAATAAAGCCCGCCAAGATAGATACTTCTGAAACCACACGTCAATGGGGAATCCGGGAAAGCGAGGGCTCAATTGTGGGGTTGGCCACTTTGAGGTACACGTTTCACTTTCCAGGATGCGACAATCGTGCGCAGGTATCCCAGGGCCCCCGCAGTTGCAAGCCCCGTTAATTCTTAGATCCAGCTGCCAAGGCCAGAGGCTACGCAAAACTCCCCTGACCTGTTCAAAAACATGGCTCATAGGTTTGTCCAAGAAGCCTCATGGAGCACAGCGCATGGCTTAGTTGCCTGTAGGAAAAGCCAAGTTCTCGCACAGGTGAAGGAAGACGCCGCAGTGGGAGGCATACACCAAATGCGAAAAAAGTAGTTGAGCGTCGACCCACTAAAGACTCTTTGGTTAAACAAAGATTGCGATGAAGACCTATGATATGAACCTTAGTTGGCAATCATCACTGCCACGTGGATCTCTGCATGTAGAATGCATAATATATATATATATATACACACACATGTACAAGTATATATTCCAAGATCAAATGTGTATGTCGTGTTGCCATCTACGTGCATGCGTATATGTAGACATGTGTAAACAAACATACTTATATATAAATATATGTACATACATGTGTGTGTGTGTGTGTGTCATATCTTGACATATGTGAATCAACCATCTTGACTCGTGCTCAAGGTCCCTGGCAGCCTGCCTTCGCAGGAGCAGGCACGGTCGGAACCCTGCGAGTGAGACCTCCCCGCTCAGAAAATAAGCACGAAGGATTGGAGATACACCAACAAGCCAAGTTGAAGCAATTGAAGCAAACGTCGAAACACACATACAGATGGGACAAATGAAGCAACCAAGCAACCAAGCAACCAAGCAACCAAGCAACCAAGCAACCAAGCAACCAAGCAACCAAGCAAGCAAGCAAGCAAGCAAGCAAGCAACCAAGCAACCAAGCAACCAAGCAACCAAGCAACCAACCAGGAGGGGAGACAGTTCAACCAAATACAAGCTTCGAAGAAGCATTCCGTGCGCATCCAAATACAAGCTTCGAAGAAGCATTCCGTGCGCATCCATGCGCAGCGCCCCTCTTCGGGCTTGGCAAGTGTGGCTTTGCTCTGCATGCACATTGGCATGGCATCAGTTGGGTGTGCATTCAAATAGGGGGCCCCAAAATATGGTGCCTTTTGGCTTTCCAGCAACGCCATCCCAAAAGGGCATCGCTGAGAAACACCCAGTTGATGAGAGGACTGGCAAAGGTTTGAAGAATCCAAGGCAGGAGCGCCTAGGGGTGCGATGAATGAACCAGGATCAAGAATACATCGGATTAATAGGGGGCAAACCGAAAAGGCCAGGGATCCCCAACCCACCAACGGTTTCATACTGAGGGATGTTGATCCCTGATTAATCACCCTGTGGGCAGGCCATTCAGGGATCACATATTGGGTCTGTCTTTTAAAGGGTACAGCTGGGTTTGAAGGCAAACCGGGCCCCGTGCTATGGACAGCCTTGCTGGGCTGTGAGCCAGAGGCTACGCATGCCCTACCAGCGCGCCTGGCGACTTCTTAGGGTTGAAGAAGTACCACAGCAAGCAACTACCATTTTTAGGGCAAGCTTTTAGAGAATATTGATATGCTCAATGACGAACTAGCAAATGGTAACTAGCTTTTGCATGGGTCAGCTCGCCCGCCTCTATATAGCTTCTAAGCTGGCAAACTTATTCAGCATTGAACCACCTCCGGCAAACTGTGTCAAAACCACGGGTTCTTTGATTGGAGGCGCAAACGATTTGTCATGCCAGGAATCGCGCTGTCGGCCTGGGGCAATCCTGCATTCTCTTGTCGACCGTTTTGAACTGCTGGTTGATTTGGGTTGCTCTTTCGTTGGTCCTTGAACCTTTTCTGGCCACCAAATAGTTGACTTTCTGGAGGGGTCGAAGAACAAGACTTTGACTTTTGAAGTGGGTCTAATAAACGTGCGAAGCGATTTCCGTGAATCAACATGGCCCCCGCAATTCGACACAGGCGAGCGGCTTCGCTTCCCCACGCCAGGCACGCCGCGCCATGCCCCGAGCGAGTGTGCGTGTGGAATGCTACTGTGGCTATGTTCTACGAGGGTAGCTGGCGCATTCCATGCTTGCCGCCTGTAAAGTGTAATATCCATCTGGGGCTGTTGTGGCGTGGGGTCATCCAGAGTGTGGAGGAGACGGCAGCCAGGTGCAGGAGCAGCTGAGAAACGTCCAGCACATCCAAGCAACTGAGGCCGCTTTTGCTGCCATTCTTGAATCTGGGGCTGTTGTGGCGTGGGGTCATTCAGAGTATGGAGGAGACAGCAGCCAGGTGCAAGAGCAGCTGAGGAACGTCCAGCACATCCAAGCAAATGACGGTGCTTTTGCTGCCAGTCTTGAATCTGGGGCTGTTGTGACCTGGGGTCATCCAGATGATGGCGGGACAGCAACCAGGAACAAGAGCAGCTGAGAAACGTCCAGCACATCCAAGCAACTGAAGCCGCTTTTGCTGCCATTCTTGAATCTGGGGCTGTTGTGGCGTGGGGTGATCCAGAGTGTGGAGGAGACGGCAGCCAGGTGCAGGAGCAGCTGAGAAACGTCCAGCACATCCAAGCAACTGAGCGCGCATTTGCTGCCATTCTTGAATCTGGGGCTGTTGTGGCGTGGGGGAGGAGACAACAGCCAGGCGCAGGAGCAGCTGAGAAACGTCAAGCACATCCAAGCAACTGAGCACGCGTTTGCTGCCATTCTTGAATCTGGGGCTGTTGTGGCGTGGGGTCATCCAGAGTATGGAGGAGACAGCAGCCAGGTGCAGGAGCAGCTGAGAAACGTCCAACACATCCAAGCAACTGAGGCCGCTTTTGCTGCCATTCTTGGAATCTGGGGCTGTTGTGGCGTGGGGGAGGAGACAACAGCCAGGCGCAGGAGCAGCTGAGAAACGTCAAGCACATCCAAGCAACTGAGCACGCGTTTGCTGCCATTCTTGAATCTGGGGCTGTTGTGGCGTGGGGTCATCCAGAGTATGGAGGAGACAGCAGCCAGGTGCAGGAGCAGCTGAGAAACGTCCAACACATCCAAGCAACTGAGGCCGCTTTTGCTGCCATTCTTGGAATCTGGGGCTGTTGTGGCGTGGGGGAGGAGACAACAGCCAGGCGCAGGAGCAGCTGAGAAACGTCAAGCACATCCAAGCAACTGAGCACGCGTTTGCTGCCATTCTTGAATCTGGGGCTGTTGTGGCGTGGGGTCATCCAGAGTATGGAGGAGACAGCCGCCAGGTGCAAGAGCAGCTGAGCTTGAAACTAGGCCTATTGTAACAGGGGCCGCCCAGGAAATCTGGGACGCAAAAAGCTTGCCTTTCAGACATCCAAAGTGTTGCTCAAACCCCTTTGGAATCAACAACCAAACCTCCCCCTGTTCGCCCATGGAGATCCACTGGGGGGCTCATTGAGTTCCGTGACTCGGACCTGATCATCGCTTGTTGGGGTTGAACAATTGTGGCGAAGAACAAGTTTGCGATTTTTGGCCAGGCCACTCTGGAAGTAGGTACAACGGTCGGCTTATATGGGCCGAATCATTCATCGGGCAAAAGATAGGGCTCAGATGGGGAACAAAACAATGCCCATCAGTTGAAAGGAGGAGCTTGGACGAGCGAGGATTCCCAGCAAACACCAGCGTGGCAGCATGGCAGGTGTTCGAAGCTTCAGTTGCACACCTGTCTTGTTGAGAGTGCCCCCCTTTTGGTTTCAAAAGGAAGCCAAAAGAAAGCCAACCCATGTTGGGGGTTCCCCTGGGCCAAACCCCGAGAGCGGAGCCGAACCCTCCAGCACGCCGCAAGCGCGCCATTTCCAGGCGCCCTTCGGCGCGGAACCGGAGGCAGGCTGCGCAAACGCCGAAAAGTGCGCGGATCGGGTGACTTCTAGGGACCCCCCGCATGTCAGCCTTGTAAACAGGTCAGAACCAAAAGTCCTTGCACGAGTTGCAGGTGTTGCACTTGTTGCACGAGATTTACAAAGGCAGAGGCTGTAGATGCCAGCTTGCGCTGACAACCGCATCTTGTGACGGGGCAGGATATCAAAACCCTGCAAGATGTTCACGCAGAAATCACCACTGTATTTTGTGATGATGAGCGATAAGATATACACAGACGAAGACGGGGAGGTTGCAAGACCTGGTGACCCGTACAAATGTTATTGGTGACATCCCAAGTTGGTCCAAAGCCTCCAAGGAGCATGTTCATTTTGTTGAAGATGATGAGGCAAGAAATATGTGTGCGTTCGTCAAGGCCATACCCAATCCGGCTTAGTTGACGCTGACGTCTAGGTCATGTTACAAGTGAAATCCACATATGAAGCCCAAGGCAAAGAGACGTGAGTCCTAGAGGTGGTGTCGTGAAATGCCAAGGGCCGCTGTTTCCCAAGAAGCCGGGCGTCAAACCAGCTGGAGCGTTGACCGGCCCAGACACAAAGCCTTGATCAGCGCCCAAAACCCCCAACCCCTATTGGCCATGTTGGCAGGTAGAACCCCATTTGGTTTCATAGGATTTACAGGCGAGCCTACACCTTGACCATGCTGGTGGAATCAAAAGCCAAGAAGGGCGCTGCTCAATTGGCTTCTTGTGTTGTTTTGCAGGTTGGTTTTGAGGGAAAATAGCCATGATTGGTTTGGTAAATCTGTCCTCGGCAGTGGAGAGTCTCTGAGACTCTGAGTGTTAGCATTAACACAGGGAAACCATGGGCTAGGGGGGTTGTTACATGTGTTCAGGGCTTAGGGATTAGGGTGTTTCGGATCAAAGGGCGATGAGTCATGGACAGTGAACTGTGGGGTGTCGAACCTCTCTTCATGGAAGCGAAGGGCCAACATTGCACCTGACCAGACAGAAATTGCTGCTCAACTGATTCCATGACTCATGGACCACATGGATTGACAAGCTGGAAACATACACGTTTGTTTGTCTGACAGCTTCCATAGGAATGCCTGATTCAAATCTCGGCTCGGAACAACTGCCTTATCTGTTTGGGCTGCAGCAACGCCCGCTCTCGCTTTGGTGGCTCCCGTGACAGGTGGGCGCTTGGGCGCAAGGGATGCAGGCGGGGCTGTGGAGCCACAAGATCACAGGAGCCAGCCATGGGAAAGCCGCGGAGACCCAAATTGTTTGGTTCGGTAACGATGTTCTTCCCATGTCCTGGACGGTAGTCGAATCATGCCTGGCAGGTGGTCTAAAGGCTCCTTTGTCCACCAGCCCCAAACAGGTTTCTCTTTCCGGGAAGCCCTCTAGAGGCTTCTTCAGGCATTCCGGCCAAACCGCGGGCTGCCGGAAGGGAGACTTCACCAAGAGATCTTTCTTGGTGCCATACCATTTTGTCCCGGCGGGCCCCGACCCAGGCACCAGCACGAGCTGAGGGTCAAGGTTGGTTTGGGGTTGGTTTAGTGTTAGGCTTGGTTTAGTTCGGGGCAAAGGTATGACTAGCTCAACTGCTTCCAGAAATTCCGTGTGAACCGAAACCTGTGCATGGATATCATGTTGCTTTCTTACTGGATGGAAGCCATTCTTCGTCATGCCTGCTTGAAGGGTATTCATCTCCGAAGTATTTGGGTGGACCACTCTGAAGCAACCCAAATGCTCGAACTGTCCTCCTAGGTGATGGCGGGAAAGAAAACCCGAAGCTGGAGAGGGTCCGTTGGAAGGACCAAAAACCTCAAAGCCTCAACCACCAAGCACCTCAGTCTCAGGAAGGTGGTGAATGGTGTACGTATGTCTCATCAACATCTGGGTGGCTCAATAAGAATCACCAGTCTGCATGGGCAACTTGCGCGTATTCGGTTGGCCGGGGCAGGGCATCATCCGACTTCCCAAGCTCCCCTCTAGGCAGAATCTTTCTTCATAGCTCATTTGTTGGCAGATCGTGAAAACAGGGTTCCCAGACTGCCCGTTTCCCTCAATCTGTGCAGAAACTTTGCCAGGCACCTCCGTTCATGTCGCAGAGTCAGGCTGGAATAGAGCGCAGCACAGGGCGATGATTTGTTGTGGGTTTCGGGGGCCTATTTTTGAGTATGGCAGTGGGTGAAAAATAGGACCCTTTGATAAATGGGTTTCCAAGAGCAAAGAAGACTAAGCCCTTGGAGGAGTCTGTTTGAACAACACGCATTCGATGCCATGAGCGGTGTTCTTGAGAAACAGCGAGCTAGCACGCTTTGGCTGGTCCGCTCAGCTCCAAGACCGCAACTCTTTGGGAGTGTGGCTGAGTGGCTCGCCATCCCGGGCAGATGCCCCGAAAGCAGAGCTCACTTCTATAGTTGCGATCTCAAGGGTAGTTTCTTGACTGCTATTGGGTTGGATCTTTAAACTTTATCTTTTTGGGAAACCAAGGTGTTTTCCACTAAACCTCCAAAAAGTTAAACTTTTTGCAGGGGTCAACAGCACCCAAGGCTTGGGATGGTTGTGGTTTGTGGTTGGCGTCGTTTGGTCCGGGGATGGGGCGGTCTGAGTGGCGTACTTCTCGAAGTCAGGCGCCGTTCGGGAGCTCAATGCCTTCCCAGGCGGGGGGGCCGTCTTTGGATGCCCCGCAAATTCTCCCATCCAGCTGACTGTGCGCACGGTTGGAGACTCTACTTTGGTTCGTCAACCACGTCGTTTTGCCCATGAAGGGCCGCCATTTGTACCAGAGGGGTCGGCCAAGGGGAGTTTCCACCATGGCCTGCTGGAGGGTAGCCAGTCTCAGATGTTGCCTGTGTGTTTCACACTTGTATGGAATCTAGACAAGTGAAAACGTTACAAAGCGGCGTTGCAACCTCACCCATCATGAAGGCTCCTTTCACAAGGATCCCTCATGTTCAAGTAGTTCGATCACATAGAATCCTGCGCGAAATGCAGGTGCCAAGCACGGACAATGTGTGCATACGTAGCATGTCAGGGAAAACGTCCTTTATCGCTTGGCTTCTAATGGTCCACGCATTGCTAGACTAAACTTTGGGCAAGTGCAGCTTGTTTGCGCCACGTGATCAAAGCTGAACTAGTTTAGGTATAGACTATAGATACCTCGAAGAACAGTATGTTTGCCCTTCATGGTGTGCTGGTTGATCTTGGATTGTCCAAGTCGTAAATTCCGTCAATGATTTGCGGTTGTCAAGCTGCTATTTGTGGGACTGGGGTTACATCACAGCATGCCAAGCCATGCCACAGGAGTATCACTGCTCACACGATCTCGCCAGCTAGCAAGCCACGCTGCTTGCCACGTGCCAAGTCTAAATTGGGCACTGTATAGAACTGTGCAACATGCCTTTGTTTCAGGCACGGTTGCGTTAAGAATTGGGGTCCAAGCAAAGAGGTATGTCGTCGCTTGTGCCGTGGATTGTCTTGTGCAAACGTGTGTGCTAGTTTGCATCATTGGTCGCCTTTGCTTTTTCAAAACAAACCAAGTCATGTTCGAGACCAGAAGAATGATAACCATGTTATGATTCCTGAGGCCCGGCATTGACTAGGGCGCATCATTGTAGCCAACAATCACGAAATTGTTGTTTTTTATTCCGCCATGTCGTCCATGTTGTTTGATATTAAGTAGGAAGACCAAGTCAGTGGCGAAGAAAAAGTTTGGCCTTTTGCCGCTCCGCGTCAGGAACTGGGGGTTTCAGGGCTGTGTGTTTGGGCCAATCGCCGGGAGACACTTCGTGTCAGGCCCCTTGCCCAAGCTCACCGCGGCAGGCTCACCGGGAAGTTCGGTCACCCGGGCCATGGCTAGAAGTTGGCTTTGCTCCCAACGAATTCACATTAAATCAATCCTCAGAAAGTGAGGGGTTTCTGGAATCCATGGAAATTCTGCCAGAGAGCATGTTGCTTTGAAGGAAGTCACTAGGTACTGTTGGCTTCCGGCAGATGACAACAGCTAACTCCATAGACACAAGAGTTGTCGGGTACCTTCAACTGCAGAGTGCTGAACATTGCCAAGACTTTCCTGAGGCGGTCACTGCACAAACTCGGTGCCGTTGGTTCCCTTGTCACCCTGCCCGTTCTCAGCAGAGTGGTGTAAGGTTCAAATGCCGTACGGAACGCCGCGTGTGTTCTTTCGCTTGCGCAACGACCAGGGCAATCCGGGAGCCAGGCGATGCCCTTTGGGAGCGCGCCATGCCTGGCGCAGGCACGACCTTCCGTCTGTTCTGATAACTTTGTTTAAAGGGACGCCCAAAATACAACCTTGCCATGTTTGGGCCTACTATCTTGCGAAACCGAGCTGGACGTCACGCCGTTACGAGGATGATTTCTCAGCACCGATCAGATGGTGTTGCTGACGACATGCGGCGCGCCGCGCAAACACAGTGTGTGAATCGAGATGCAAGACTTGTGTTTTGGCTGCACCTCAGAACAAGGGATCCAAAAGGCATAAAGAGCACTCTGTAAATTTCAGATAGGCTGAGTGATCCTTCGGACGACTCGGACACGTTTTATGGCTTAGCCTTGAGAGTCCAGGGCGTGAGCTCCCCTCGCCAGGCGGGGAACGGAAGGGGAGAGGCATGGAACGCCTATGGGCGCTGTCCAAAAAAACGCGTATTTAAACGACGGGGCAAACAGAGCAGGTGTTCTTCAGGAAAAGGGAAGCTATGTTGTTGGCCCCCGTTGGCCGCCTCGGAGTTTAGCAAATTAGAAGGGTGCTGAAGCTTCTATATGATGTGTTGCGCATTTTTGGGTAACCTCAATGCACTGAGAGCGGTCATGGGTGCGCAACGGTGTTCTTTCTCAGCAGCCCCAGTGCGAAAAGCAGCCTGCATACGCATGATGAACCGCTTTCTTGGCACCCGCATGTGTCCCTGATTGGCACAAGGTTGGGCAAAGTTGGATAAACAACTAAAGTGTGACCCGACCCCTCAGAAGATGTCTGCAATTCCTTTTGATAGGGAACGCACTTTTTCGCAAGCAGTCTGAGTTGCAACGTTGACGAGGATCCCAAGATGCTGGTCAGCCCGATTGCGCCAAGTATGGCAAGCTCGAGTATGACGAGCTTCCCTTGAAGATTTCTTGTGTGTATGTGAGATTTGGGAATGCATCAAGCCAGGGCTTGATGTTCGGCACACGGTCATGCAGCCACTCTTTCTGCAGTCACTCATGGGGACTCAACAAGCTTGGTTGAAGCAAGTCTTTGAGGGACGTGCTACATGTTGACTTGCATGAGTCATGAGGTCGCTAGTAAACGTGCGCCTCAATGTTCTTGAGCCAACATTGCCCACAGAAAAGCAGCCATGAACAATGCGCGGAACAATGGTGAAGACCGCGAAGGAAGAGAACATTAAAAGTTGTGGCTGCTGCGTTCCACACGAGAGTGCACTCCAGAGTTCCTTTGACGGCATGGCACGACAAGAGCAAGATCAACATCATGAGGCAAGAGCAGCCCCTCTTCTGGCAGGAGTCAAAGCAGATCAGCTTTTGCCAGGCAATTCTGGACAATATTCAGGCGAACGCAGTCATTGACCTCACCCCTGCAAAGGGGGTGCTTGCAAAGGCTTGCCTGACATGCGGAGTCCCGTACAACGGCTTGCGCGTGAACGCGGGCACGAAGCTCGTTTCTGTGGCCCGGCAGGCGCTGCACGCCAAAAATGGCTTGCCCTTTTGGTTTCCCAGAAAGGAATCTGTTGGCCAGGGGCCGGATTCTGTAAGATTGATTTTCATATGCAGTTCTCAAGGCTTGGTTAAAACGTTGAAGTGTCCAAATGTCCAAACCTTACCACTGCCACAAAACTTTGCTTCCGAAAGGGAATCACGTCCAGCCCCCCAAGGGCTCCACGGGATGCAGTAGGTTTTGCGGTTCTGGTGCTCAGAAACCAGGGCCTGGGATTCATGGGGTGGTTCTGGGGTGCTTTGTATGCGCGAAACAGATTTGGTAAAGAAGTGGGCAGCTGTTCATTTTCCTTGTTCTCCAAAACTATTTCAAATTCTAGGCTGGACTAGATGTGAAACAGGGTCTCAACAATATGTGTTTTTGTTGTTTAACTTTTGGAACGGTGGGCTCAGATTTCCAGGGCCAGTCTCGCCAGGCGATGCCTTTCGCCTCTCAGGGCCAGGCTGGTCGAGAGATCGGTTTAAGGGCTCCGCAGTGGTCGTGGAATGGAGCTCGGCACTGCAGATGTTTGGGTCAAAATGACTGGTCCGTTCTGGGAGCGGTGTGGGGAAGTCACTGAATGTCCCACAAAAACCAAGGGACTCGCCAATTTTCCCAGGTACTCTTCAACTTTTCTGCCGGAATCCTTTGGATGACACGCCAGACCAGCACACTGCGAGCTTTCCAAAATATGCCGGTACACTTGTGTGTAAAAAGTGTGAAATCAAACACACATACACGTACACATACGCACACACATTGACAGACGTGCAGCCGTGTTTAAGCGTGTTGGCTGCACAGTCAAGCCATCACAGGCACTGTGCTTGAATGTAGCTAGCCCCGTTTCACCCCCAAAGTGGCCAGCCGCTTCCACTTCCTGTGAAGCATGGGTCGGTTGTTCAGCGCCGCTGCCAGGGGCGTCATTGTCTCACTCCCTGAATTCCCGGGCTTATACTGGGTTGGGAGACCATTTAGTGGCAAACAAGGAGTTCGGACATGTTTTGCCAGCCCACTCAGATAGATCAGAAGTGTGGGACCACCAAAATAGTTGCAGAATGGCGCGTCAAACCCAGGCTCTAAGGAAAATGCTCATCGCTGATACTTACTGTGAGGCCATAGGCCCAAATCCATGAGAGCTCACCACGGGCACAGACGCGCAGGGGCCAAGTTGAACATGAGCCAACGACAACGCTGTTTTTTGTTAGATACCTTTTCATGCACAAGCAAGCTTGCCTGTGGGGACCTTTCTTAGCTGGATGTCCGAAGCATACGCACCAGAATAATCAGACCCCTGGCGGCCTGTGTACGCGCATAGACCAGGTCGAAAGCAACCTCATAGACCCTTGGCCCATGCTCACCCCCCCCCCCCCCCCACATCATAAACTAACCCAAAACCCACCCTACATCAGTTGCCGGAAGGAGCCGGGGCCAAGCAATTCTCGTCAGGTGCCTTTTGGGGGCTCGCCTGGTATGGCTTCGCAGGCGCAATGTCCAGATGCGTCCGTGGTGCAAGTATTGTGGCCCTGAACTTGACTTGTTTTGATGAAGACAATGTTGGGCTCGACATGTTGAGACATGCCCAAAAAAACCATTCCAAGTGCAACCCCTAAGCAAAGAGAGTGTGCGATGCCGGGTCTGGAGCGCTGTCAGGGCCCCCAAAGTTCCCCGCGACAGGCGGGGCAGAGTGGGCCAGGAAGCCACGGATCTGGCTCGAAGTCAACACCCCCGACGTAAGCCACGGATCCATGGCAGCAGTGTCCCAGCCTTTGCGGACGTGATCCTGTTGATTTAGACGAGAATTCAGATATGCTAAGAAGTGTTCCTTCAATGGGCCAAAACTTACAGTTCCTTTCGGACACTTGCGTACTGTTACAAATCCCCCAGCTCTCTTTAAGTTGAGGGCTGTCCCACAGAAATTATCCGAGCTGTGTATTTTGTCCATTCAAAGCCTTTTCAGGGCAGTTGGGGATACTTCTGGAGATCCCCAGATTCAAGTACGAGAGCGTTGCCTGGTTCACATTGAAGCAGGAGTCTGCGCATGTTTGCAAGAGCCAGGAAAGCTGCCATGGGCCAAGGACATCGCAACAGCAACGCCCAATTCCTTTGTGTCCCTTAGTCATTGAGCTATGATCCGGATGCCTCCATTGCTGGTTTTGTTGCGGGTTTTGTTCTGTGTTCTAGCCCTGGCACGCGCCTTCACTCGGAAGGCCTGGTTGGCTGGATGGCTGGCTGTGGCTGGCTGGCAGAGCGAAGATTTGCGCTGGTTCGGTTGCCTAAGATTGCTGTAGGGTAGGGTTCTGACTGGCTTGGAGTTTACTGAGGGTGAAGGTTGGGTTGGGATTTAGTTGGTTTGGGGCAGGTTTGGGCTTGCTTAAAGATGGCTTTAGGCCGAATCGAACTATTTGTGTGTGTGAAAGCATGAGTGTGGAGTGAGTGGTCTCTGGGCTGGCTTTCACACTGCAGTCCTGCAACAAAGGGCGTTGCCGAGCTTTTTCTTAAGCAGGTCATATGCCAACTTCCCAAGAGCATGATTGCCTCAGACTCTGTCGACGACTCCCTCTCAGGAGAGCGCTCAGAAGGATGCCTTGTGGCTTCTTAGACTGAAAGTCAATGAAGCTTTGGAATGTTTGCAAAGTGCGTGCTTGCGCGCATGTGTGCTTCTCTCAGTTTTGAAGATACTCTTGGCAATCCAAGGAAGGGTCGTAGCAATTGACTACAAAGAAGGCATTAGGCAACGAAGTGCTTGTAAGAAACCTTTGCAGGAGACTAAATGGTAAGGTACGGTCGCAAAGGGTTTGGTCACGAAATTCAGCGCCCGAATGGCTCTAAGTGCATTCTACCCACAAACCTGCATAATAAATTGACCATTGCGTAAAGTTCTAGCCACTGCTAAAGCTTGGTTGCCCACCTCCCAACTCAAGCCTCTTTGTGTCAAAATGGGGGGAGACCACGTAAATAGCTGGTGTCCCTTCGGGGTGTCCCCTATGAAACAGGCGCCAACTCCAAAGAAAGACATTCCCAACTTGGCATCTGCAAGTTGGCTTTCAGGCAACGCCTTTCGCGTCGGGGCAGCTTTCCCAGGCTGGGTCAGTGGTCAGGGGATGGCGACGTGACTCGCTTTAAGCCGGTGTCTTGGCCTGGTTTTCCCGCTTTGGCGCATTGCCCGGAAAGGTTAGCAGTTGGTTCCCAGGTCCTTTGGGCAATGCAACTTCGAACCCCAAAGGCTAAAGCCAATTCGCCAGACTCAACGGAGAGTTGGGGAACTCAGTGAGAGGTCAACTGACTGTGGCTGCATCAGCCAACATGACTTGTATATTGAAGACACTTGTTAGCTACAGGGGTGACTTCAAGAGTAGGCATGCCCACTATGAATGCCAAAAGGCTGGCACACAAGGTTCTCGACAGTGGGATAACAAGGCAAATCAATGTGGGGTCAACCCAGCCTGCCAAGTATGCAATCAACCTTACTGCAAGGGCATGGCCCCCGCGAAGGAACAAAAACAAACTCGGCAGCACAGCTGGCGGAGGTGGTGTGTAGAGGTGCAGGCGCAGGGGCCAATGGAAAGCGGCATGCTGCCGGCTGGGCCGCAGCAGGGGCAGCATATGACGCTCTTGGCGGAGGAGGCGGATGGCAAAGGAAATCAACTGATTCAACTCCTTGTTGTCCGGGATACCCGTGCATGGCCAAGGAGAAAGCAAGACTGGTCAAGAGAACATCTGCCTCCAACTGGTAAACAAGCTCCACAGCAAGGAAGCCTTGAACGAACAAGCAATAGCATAAGGTGATGATATCTCAAATCAAGCTGTCGAGACACATGCACGCACAATCATGGCCAAGACAAACCATTAAGCCATGATGCAACACGTGACCCCAAACCCGAGTAGGCCTTGGCTACTGGGGCATGCGGGCTAAGAAAATTGGCTGCGGGGCGGCGCGCAACAACCAACCAAGCTCCAAGCAACCACATGCAACGACAAGCAAGAACCAAGATGCAGGCTTAAGGAGAAAGCGCTCATGCAAGAACTGGACCAAAAAAAGCAAAAGAGAGAACCATGCCCCAAAAGACACGACATAGAAAGAACCCGTCGTGTTGCATGTTCAGAGCCAAGTTGAATATCGGCCGTGCTCTGGGCAGTTTCTGCCTAGCTTCTTGAACCAAATGCTCATCAACTCAAAATGTCACAAACCGTGAACAAAACAAGCTCCATCGACGCACAGTTTCAAGCTTGCCTGTGCCCAATGATCTTCATGCTCACACGCCAGCAAATGAGGCCAGAGAGGTGTTTCTCTAAGGGATCCATCCATATAGGTGGTGAGTGTGTTTCTGGCTTGCCTGTAACCACCAACCACTATGGGGCCCCCAGTTTAGAGAAAGACCCATGTGGGATGTGGTCAAAAGCTCCCAGGACTTGTACTGTAGGGGACCATAGCATTGCGGGTGTTTGTCCCCACGAAAGATCTGCAAAGGAGTCTAAAAAAGAGAGGTGTTCTAGAGATTTAGCTAAGGCTTCTTGGAGGCATGCTTGCTCGCTTACATATGTGCAGGCCCCACTCCCTGGTACAGTAGACAGAGAGGTGTTTACTTGCATTGCCTGAAAGTCAAAACGTTGGCTGGGCCATTTTGGAGCAAGTTTTGCAGGCCGGCATGGTCACTGCGCTGGCAATCGAAACTGGAGCGGCAAAAATGGCCCCCGTCGCTCGCTGCAAGCAAAAGTGCACGGCGACGGCGACGGGGTTGCGAAAGATTCACGAAAGATATGTTTCTCGCAAAGATTGTGCTTCTGGGGAAGGAAGTATACCTTTGGGCGTGTGAATGGCGAGGGGTTCTGGAACATTCTTGTGAACGCAAGTCCACGCCCCACTTGCTGCATCCCATCTCATTGGCAGGCCGCACCCTTCGGGAGCTCCCCGTGTATGCCTTCACAGGCGGGGCTTTGCTCGGCGTGCGGGGAAATGAGCATGTTCTGGCAGCGTATGTTTGTAGGGTTTCCGGCAAGGCAGCCGGCAATGGCAGCCAGCAAAGTGAGCAAATGACAGCGCTTTTGCCAGGGCCCCTGCCCCAGTTCTCCCCGAGGGCAGCAGGCAGGACGGGGAGGCGGAGGAGGTTTCCATGAGAAGGAAGGCCTGCTTTCCATTGAAGCACATGTCCGCACAAATCATGGCATCTGCACAGCTTGTTAAATTCAATTGCGGCTAGCTGTGCGATGCTGCTGCGTTGTTAGCAGCCAACAGAAACATTCGCAAATTGCTGATCCAAAGTTTCTCGTCCTTTGTGAAAGCCACGCATGCGTGGCTCTCGTGCGTGAAGCCTTGTTGTTCTGCAGTTTGTTTTGTGGGTCATCATCATCATCGTCATCAGCGCCGTCGTTTGTGCAAAGCCCTTCCCCGTTGATACGCGTTGCGTCCCATTCTCAGTTTGCAACTGGATTGTATATTGCCATGACTATTTACTCGATGGATTCCTTGGGATCAAATTTTAGTGTTCTGCCACAACAAATCCAACCTGAGCGAAAAGTAAGCCCGAAAGCAACACTTCCTATTTGGGGCATTGAGTATGCTCCTTGCGCATGACGCAAAGCCGCGACCCACCTTTCACTGGGTCCCCAGTGAAGATTTGGCGGTCTCAATATGACTTCTCCACCCATTTAGAGGGTAATTTTGAGGATGCCCTTTGCTGGACCCAGTCTCAGGTCCGGTTGTGCATTCCACCGAACCGCTGACGTGTTGTTTGCTTGTTCAATGGTGCCCGTTTGACTTCAGTTCACAGGAAAGTGTAAGATCCATGATGGATATTTGCATTAAAGGGTTTGAACAGTTTCAAAAAGTCAGAATCCCTTCAAGTGCCACTCGAAACGAGAGATGCTGAATTTACATGTTATTGTCTCTTCGTGTTTGGAAGTTCGAATGTATCCAGAAGAACTTCCTGTGCCATGAAGGTGGATGTTCACTTGCCCAGCGGAGATGGTTACTCCGTAGAAGTCTCACCGGAGATGCCCGTCAGCGAGCTGAAGACTGTCGCACAGCAGCATTTCCAGTGTCGCTTGCAGCTCACTGCGAAAGGCCGGCAGCTCGATTTGACGGCCACGCTGAGCGAAGCCGGCTTGCGAGATGGAGAGACTATGGCCGCGGTTGTGCAGCTTGGCAAACTCGCTGCCACTGATAGGGTGTTCGCTTGGTATGGCCAAGGGGCCGACGTTGTGACCTGGGGTGATCCACAATGGGGCGCAGACAGCAGCCACGTGCAAAAGCAGCTGAGGAATGTCCAACACATCCAAGCAACCGCCGGTGCTTTGGTGGCCATTCTTGAATCTGGAGCTGTTGTGGCCTGGGGTTTTGCACAATATGGTGGAGATAGCAGCCAGGTGCAAGAGCAGCTGAGGAACGTCCAGCACATTCAAGCAACTAAGTCCGCTTTTGCTGCCATTCTTGAATCTGGAGCTGTTGTGACTTGGGGTAATGTATTACACGGCGGAGACAGCAGCCAGGTGCAAGAGCAGCTGACGAACGTAAAACACATCCAAGCAACTGACAGTTCTTTTGCTGCCATTCTTGAATCTGGGGCTGTTGTGACCTGGGGTGATCCAGAATTTGGCGGAGACAGCAGCCAGGTGCATGAGCAGCTCAGGAATGTCCAGTGCATCCAAGGAACTGACGCTGCTTTTGCTGCCATTCTTGACTCTGGACATGTTGTGACCTGGGGTCATGCACGCATGGGCGGGGACAGCAGCGAGGTGCAAGAGCAAATGAGGAACGTCCAGCAAATCCAAGCAACCCAGCATGCTTTTGCTGCCATTCTTGAATGTGGGGCTGTGGTGACCTGGGGTGGTTCAAAATCCGGCGGAGACAGCCGCAAGGTGCAAGAAGAGCTGAGGAACGTTCAGCACATCCAAGCAACTCGCAGTGCTTTTGCTGCCCTTCTTGAAACTGGGGCTGTTGTGACCTGGGGTTTTGCACAATATGGTGGAGATAGCAGCCAGGTGCAAGAGCAGCTGAGGAACGTCCAGCATATCCAAGCAACTCGCGCCGCTTTTGCTGCCATACTGAAGTCTGGGGCTGTTGTGACCTGGGGTCATCCAGAATATGGCGCAGACAGCAGCGAGGTGCAAGAGCAGCTGAGGAACGTCCAACACATTCAAGCAACTGGCCGTGCTTTTGCTGCCATTCTCGAATCTGGGGCTGTTGTGACCTGGGGTGATCCAGAAGAAGGCGGAGACAGCAGCCAGGTGCAGGAGCAGCTGAGGAACGTGCAGCACATCCAAGCAACTGATCATGCTTTTGCTGCCATTCTTAAGTCTGGGGCCGTTGTGACCTGGGGTCATCCAGAATATGGCGGAGACAGCAGCGAGGTGCAAGGGCAGCTGCTGGTGTAGTGCGGCTCAAACTGAGGACTAAAAGCGTGCTGAAAACTGGAAAAGGTGAACTCTACAGTTGGATTCGGCATCTGAGATCGCGCGAAAAATGGACCCCCATCTGCCTCCGCCATAAGGTCGGGGTGGATTTTCAGCATCGGTTTTATAGGGGTCTCTAGCTGACACGGGCATCACTTGGATCCTTTCTGGGACAGAAGGAACCAACCTGAGCAACCAAAAAAGGACCATTTGGAGAGTGAACAAGAAGACTTCAGCTGGCCCTCCGGACAGTTTTGCGGAAGCCAGATAAGTGATGGGTGTTTTTTGTTTCCATTTTTGCGGTAGGAAGACGACGACACATTTAACGATGGTGTCTGATGCAAAGGTTATGCTAGCGTGGCACAAGCACAGGGCTGCAGAGACCAGCTCCTTTCTGGGGCACCCCTTGTCACAAGTTTATGTTACGTAAGATTGAGCCATGCTTTTCTGTCCGATGCTTCGAACAGTACGCGTTCCTTGGAAAACAAGGCGTTTTGTTGTTCAATCTGTTCGGAGGAAGGCGAGCAATTGCTACGTTTTGTGTTATGCTCTCATTTGCGGATATTTGCGCTCGTTTAGCGAATATGTGCTCTCGTTTGACACTTCAATTTCTGCTCGCTCCTTTCAGCGACCGATCATCTCGCAGGAACGATCAGCCCGATTTTGGGAAAGAGCTCGAAGCAGGAAAACGTGTACGTGTACCATATTCGGCTGACGACCCTTGGTTTTGCCCTACGTTTGGGCTCAGGGCAGAAGTCTAAGTGACCAAGGACGCTCCAGGTTAGCTTCCATTGTCCCTTGGTTCCTGGACTTTATACTTTCAGCAACTTTGGTGGCCTTGGCAACAAGTTTTGATACTTTGTTTTGCCAAGCCACTCGATCAGAAGTGAGCCGCGGTTGATTCAAATTTGCGGGGTGGGGGCCCTCCAAAAGTGGTCTGAATGAGGGACACTGAGACGCCCAATCAAAATCAACCAAGGGTAATGACAAGTATAACCATGGATATAAGTGGGGCAACCGAAGTTCGTCCCCTACAACCAGCTTTAAAACCTGCTTACGTGGCTTGAACGCCCAAGTTGGTGGCTCGCAGCCATCCGGTTCCTTAGCTTTTTAGCTCTTTCTGGTTTTGCAGAATGTAGATCTAGAATCGACACTTCCTTAGAAGTTCACACGGAACTTGGCGCAGTCCGCTCAAAGAGCATGCCCAGAGTGTTGTTGGCTGCATGCAAGGGGCCTGCCAGGAAGGACTGCCTGCTATCAGTAAGGCCCTCCAGTGATGTTTTCTCTTTTGTGCCATTATCGTGATTCCTCCAAGGAAAGGCTCTCGCCTTGTCCAGGCACTTCTCTTCACAACCAAAAACAACCCTTCAAGAAAGATCTCCCATTCTCCAGTCACACATTGGGTGTCGGTCAGTGTCCGTGACATGCCAGGGGTTCTACGAAAGGACTCAAAGAACAGAGCCTTCCAGTTGAAAGCAAAGGCCCTCAACAGTCGTGACCCTTGAGACCTGCGTGGAAGCGTAGCCTGACCCTTGGGCAACCCTTGCCACCTGACCGCCCGACATTTGTGCAGCATGCGGTTCGGGCCTGTTCTGAAACTATAAGTTGAAAGCCTTGCTTGGGCGTCTTCCTCTCCAAAAAAAGCATGCTTTCTGGTCAAGCAAAATCGCGACGTCACCTTCGTGAAGTCATGGTTCCTTTTCCTGGGAACCCAACATGGTGGGTTTTCCTTTTGGATCCCCTGCAAAAAAGCGTGCCCTCCACAAGAACACAGACCCATATCCTCCCAGGTGGTTCCAGCTCATGCCCGTTGCTGTTTTCTTTCTCAGGCCCCGAATTGGAGCAGTGGAGGACACTTCCAGGAGCCGACACCCTTTGAGGCGGGTTTCGATTGGGTGACTCTACTGGCACCAATTGGTTAGGGATTGCGGAAGTTGGGATTTGTGGTTTGTTCTTTGCATTCTGCTTCTTTGCAAAGATTAAATATTGCAGCTTCAGGGCCATTCAAAGAGTGTCCCCGCTAAATTTGCCATGTTGAGCGGGAAACATGATGTTGCCTGTATAGACAGTTTGTGAAGGGGGTGAGAAGGATGCTCAGTTGCGATGTAGTTCGGACAAATTGTCCAACCGGGGAAACTTCCGCGGTCCCGCAAATACTCCGGAAATGCCGTTTTTCACTTGAGCACGGCTTTGCTAGTTTGGTTTCTTTCCTTGGGATGACGCCTGCGGAATGAGCCCGAGAAAAAGTTCCAAAGTGAGCAGGACTTTGCGAGCGGTAGCCCAAAAAGTGCATGTCACCGTCGGATGCCTCCAGAGAAGTTTGACCACAAATCCCTTATCCTTTGCTCAAGACCATGAACGGCAAGCTGCGACAGCAACACGCTTCATCTTGAGTAAGGAGTGACTTGCTTTCAGGACTGCTTTTGGCTGATACTTCTCCACAGGTGCAGACAAAACAGTCGTAGCCCGCAGCCCCTCTATGCACTCTCTCTCTCTCTCTCCCGATCATATTGAGGTTGACAAAGCTTAGATCTAGGACGAGCAAGATTGTTCGAGGACAAGCCAGCTGTTCCGTGAAAGGGCCAACTTCAAAAGAGTGTTTGTTGCATGAGATCGACCTCCCTGATGAGCTCTGATAGAAACCCCCTGGCACAGGTTGATTGGAGAAGGCCCCAGCGGCCTTCACCATCCCTTGTGCCTAAGGGGTTTTAGTAGACCTCATTTGTAAGCTTTCTGGGGCCGACATGAGAGGCAGAGAGGCAGGACCAGTGCCATGGTCCAAACTCCATTGGGATTCCTGTCGCTGACCTTCAGTTATAATGCGTGGCAACCGTCTCACAACCAAGTGAAGGCCAGAACGAGGAGTTTCCTTTGCGTTCAAGAAGCCATGCCCATGCCTCAAGCAGGGGCTTGATCCGGGCGAGAGCAAAGCTAGCCACTTACTCAACAAAATATAGGTCCAACTTCCACAAGGAGACTCCTCTAAAGACGTGGCTGTGGGTCAAAACCAATGGTATCATTTTGGGGTAGGTGCACCACCCATTTTAGTCTTTTTTAGTGGGAATTGGGATGTTCACTGAGCGTAAGGGATTTTGACCCATGGCCATGGGTATGTGTCAATATAGGGGGCGCAAGCATACCCTGGAGTCAGTGTTGCCATAGGGGTGATCAATATTCTGTTCGGCCTCCAAATGACCATGGCAACAATCCCACTTAGTGGGAAGAAATATTTGTTTTACGGGTTTTCCCCAAGTGTCATCCCATGTAAAGGACTTTTTGATCAACCCCCGTATGTGGATCTTCTCAAATTGAAGAAGCCCATACATTCGTGGTTTTCCTTTGTGCCTTCAAAACAGCCCAGCAGGGGTACCCAAAAAGACACACCCCACATGTCCTGCTTCCTGCCACCCTGGCTCAGGCAGGATTTCCATCAATGACACCCTCGAGCGTGCGGGGGCTTGGAGCGTGACTCGCTTTTGAGGGTGGCCTTTGTGGGTTGGTTCAAACAGAATGGGAGCTCGCCATTTCGTGGCCTTCCCCATCTAGAGCCACACGCAGTCACAGCCGTTTTTTTCCCGGGAACTTGGCAAGGAGAGAAGTAGGTGTGGTTGTGTTGTCCTCGCTTGCTTCGAGATGAACAATGGATAAGGAAGACGTCCCCTGACTCCCATCACATCTCTTGGCTTTCTGCACTGGAGAGTGACGGCAGTGTAAGTGCTGCTCTTTCGAGCGGCGCACATATATTCAGCATATCTAAGATGCACTGCACATTCGCCCGCGTTGTTTTTTTTCCAAATGATGTTATTCTCACTTGTGCAAAGCCGACCATTTGAATCTTTCATTTCTGGGTCCGTTGGAGAAGTGATGTTTTGGAGTGGCCGTGTTCCAGATGAATCACGGTCCCCAATTCACGACTAGCTTCCTGACTCGGTCACAAGACAGCAGAACGATCAAAAAACGTTCAGCGGATTGAGCTGATGTGTCTCAGGCTTTCTGGACTGGGTAAAGATGGGAACCAATGGAATGGTATTGCAAGGCTGTTGTGGCCAAAGCACAAGGTAGCACGGAGATAGCTTCACCGCTAGAAGAGCTGTTCAGTGCCCAATGGAGTTCCGCCGGCTCCTAGAATCTGCTTCTTGCGTGTCCAGAACGGCAGACCCAAATGATGCCCGCTCGGTGCGCTGATGATCGTGGACATAGATGCTGGAGCACGTCTGAAGGCATGGCCAAGCAATGGCACACAACCCGCTGTTGCCGGTGTTGCGGAATCGACTGGTGTCATGTGCAGCTGATACACCCAAAGACAGGCTGCGAGTCACAAACCACAAATCAGCGGTTGACAGTCGCTGATTTTTGTCGCTCAGCCTGCATCTTGCGCATCAAGCCTATACTGGTCACTATTGATGAGTCTCAGAAACAAGAAGGGCAGTGCTACGCCTACAAGCCTCGGGCTTGTCACGCAACATGGTTCCATTTGGTGAATGCTGAACCCTCCATTGTTCTTGTTGAGCCGCCTTCTTTGCATCTTCTGCAATCAGCTAATCATGTTTAAAGCTCAGGCCATGGATTTAAGCACCTCAACTTGGATGCCATGTCCAAGCGGAACATTCTGTGATTTGAGCACTTGAGCCATGATCAAGATTAGTTGTTTCCCAATAGGACATTGCAAAAATTAGTGAGTCTTCTGGTTTTGGTGGGAAATTTAGTGAGTTCCCGCATGTCCCTCCCAAATGGAGCATAGACCAAGGGAAATTTTGCAGAAGCCTCGCACGGATGTAAGGCTATGTCGCAACGCCACTTTAAAACACGCTCAGGTGGGTTCCATGCAGCAGTGGCCCACGGAGCAAGTACTCCCACAGCGCTTTGGCCGCAAAGCTGCGGGTCGTGAGCCAAACCAAAGACTGGTCAACAGTGATTGATTCATTCCTTCCTTCATTCATTCAGTCATTGATCATTGTTCATTGATCATTGGTCATTGATCATTGAAAATTTGATTTGATTTGATTGTTTTGATGTTGATTTGATTTGATTGGTTTGACTGCTTTGATTGATTACTTTGATTGATTGGATTGCATTGGAATGGATTTGATTGATTGATTGGTTGATTGATTGGTTGGTTGGTTGGTTGATTGATTGATTGATTGATTGATTGATTGATTGATTGATTGATTGATTGCTTCATTGATTGGTTGGTCGATTGCCTGATTGGTTGCTTGATTGTTTGTGTGTGTGTTTTTCGTTTCCAACCAGGTGCGGACGACGAGTAGACCCTTGCACGGTGTTGGGTCGAGCCCTGTTCATAGCTAGGTGTTGGTTTTGGTTTTGTCAGGTCCATGTCAAGAATGTGATTGTCGCCCGCGGCTCGACAAGAAACAGCTTTGCCCTTCCAATAGCAAACGTGTCCCTTAAAGAGGAGCATGGTCCGCTTGAGGGGTATTATTCAGTTTCCATGTTTGTTCTTGCGTGCAAAGGGACATGTTGTGCCCTGAATGCTTTACATGAAACTGTGCATTTTTTGACGCACAAGTGGTAGTCAGTTTGTTTACAAGACATCATCCTCTTCTTGGGGTCAGCATGCTTGATTGCACGATTTTGCTGGTTCCGGGGGAAAAAAAGATGGATCCAATAGTGACGAGTGGCTTCCGTGTCCAGCTTTAGTTTGACAGCATGCGAAAGGGGCGTAGCTTTGATCGAAATGGAATCGATGTCAGGGCCTTGGCTCCGATTGATTGCATGTACTCAAGTGGCAAGTGGATTTGGATGAGCATACTCTCACAAAGCTTCACTTCAGCGAGCAAGGGCTACCCAAGAGGAAACGTGAAACGACGCAAGTGTTTGCATGCTGTGCCACTCATGGACTACCCTGCACCTGAACTCCGGTGTGCATCAAGGGAAGCACGCCAGAGTGAGTGTTTGAGACAGACCTGAGTGCGCATTCGCAAAAGTTCCTTTGACGGTTCAGCCCTGGCATTGGGCATTTGGCATGGGCATGTATGGGTTGCAAATTGCAGACACTGCTTGGAGAGGACATTTGTTGGTGCTCAGAAGCTCATCCGAAACCCAGTGTTCGAACCTTTGATGTCAGACACGCCTTGTATGCGTGGCTCTTTTTCACAAACGAGCAACTTTGATTTCCCCAGCTGAAGGAAGCCCTCATGAAGAATGCTGAAGGCGTGACAGTTGCCTTCGAAAGAAAAGCATGTTGCCGGCGGTCGTGTGCCTTAGAATATCAAGAGGGAGACCTTGGTGACCGTGGAACACGTTGCCCTAGTGTACATACAGCTTACAGGTGCAGACCACCACTCGCCAGGATTTTGACTATGCACCGGTGTCGTCTTTTGAGGCCGGCCTTTTGTTGGGTATTTTGGAAGGGAACCCAAAGGGAAGCTGCCATTTGGGAGATTCCATTTGCAGACAAGCCCTGTCATGCTTGGCTTCCGGTCTTTAACTGGGGTCTCCAAAACCATGCGATATGTGCGGGCAGAGAAGCAAAAACCGGATCCGAAGATCTGATCTGTGCAGGCCAAACTAAGTCTGGACGGGTTTTCCAGGGGCCGCACAGGAGCGCGCAGCAGCTGGCGGAGCGGGCAGGGCTCTCATGCCGAGGGGCCAAGGGCCTAGGACTGGACCCACTGAGGCTGGATAGGGAAACCAACAAAATGCCGCCCGCATAATTGGGGCAGCTATGGTTTTCAGTGGAACTGTGATTCAGCCAAGGCTAGTTGGGTTGTGTTTGCAGCTTTGGGAGGGTGCAATGAGGTTTCACCATACAGATACTTTCCTCGTGTCGTGGCTGGCAATGGACCGTGGTCATTCTGGTGACCAAACTGTTAGGCAGGCGCATTGCTTGCCCATGGCCAACCCGTGAGAGCGGTGTATCTGGGCTCCACTGCCACAGAGAAATGTTCAATGAAGTGTTGAGGTACTCCAGAAAGTTCGAGAGCACAGATGCTTAACGATTTGGATCATGATTGTCCCACATCAGACACGGTACGTTTCAGTTTCCGCTGTCTACTAAGTAGATGGTCCGACAGTTTGTGGCCCTTTCGGGCCACTGTAGGTCCTTGTTCGGGGGTCATTGGGTTTGTGGCAAAACCATGTGGGTGCTGCTGGTTGCCAGTGGTACGCACTTTGTTTGACAAGGGTCCGATTTGCACTATTTGTTTGTTAGCTGTGCCCTTCAAGGCTCGGCAAAGCAGTCCTAAAGGAAATTAGTTCCTCTAATTTGAGACGGTCAGTCCCATTTACGGAGTCTCAGATAAAATGTGCGAACACCGATAGGGATGGTCATGATCCCTTTAGGAAGTCAGATCAGGATTCCTCTGGGAATGACCACAACCCTAAGGCAGCCTCTGCGCTGCCGTCGCCCATGCCCACTGGCCAGGCAGGAATCCTGCAAAGCCAGTTTGGGCCCCGCATGTTTGTGGTTAAGACACTGACTTTGCTTAAACGAGCTCCTTTGGGTTTCTCTTGAAACGGAGCCAAGGATAGCAAAGCCGATTTGGGTTGGAATAGTGGACAGCAAGCTTCACCTTGGCCACCAACAGAAACCTTCCAAGTTATTTGGTACGGATGTTGCCATTATGAAAGTGAAGAAGGAGTTTTTTCGGCAATTGTCTGCGCGATCCAGGGGTGTTCGGGATGCGCACAGACATCCTGACAAGAATCTCGCTGTGTGCTCTGTGAGAGCCCTTTGGTTTAGACAATGCTGGTTGTGCATCTTAGTTTGGGGGGATTGTTACTCTGGCGAGAGCAACAGGTTCGGGTAATTGGTCTCTGCTTTTTGCTGCTTTGGAGAAGTTTGGAGGCAGGTCAGGACTTTGTTTTTAGGAACGCTATGAATGTGGTCGGCAACGCTGTGATTCCCGTCCCCTTTGCTGCGAGTTAAGCAAGACAAGCGGAAGATTAGTTAAAACCAAGCAGAAATCCATTCTGCTTTCTTCAAAGCACATAAGAGAGAAACGTGGCGCGAAGTAATAGTGTGATCGGTTCGTAGGCTCGTCCGATTGTCCGATTGACATATCCTCAAATAGGCCCGGGTGTGAAGGGCTTGGAAGCGTTCCGCGAATATTGGTGTTGTTCTCCAAAAAGCAACCTCATGGATTTCGCGGCAAACCTTTCAGTGGGATCTTGAATGTTCATTTGCCTGCACATGTAGGGGTGTGCTCTTCAAAAGGGGGTTGTGCACGTCTACGCTTGCCTGTGGGAGGATGGATAGTTGGATGATTTGCCTTTGTCCATGTTATATAAGTGGAAGCCAAATGTGTTTGGTCACAAGAGTGACCTTGCTTTTTGCATGTGATCCAGTTCTAGTCATGGTCCTGGAACCAGAATTTGTTTCGCAGATGAGCATTGATGTGTTATTGAAGGGCTAACAGATCCACTTGTTCAAAGAGTTTTGCTGTTGATTCCAAACCGGGCCTGTTGATTGCAAGTGAGCCATGCGACCATACCCAAGCCCCGCATGTGTTTCAGGTGGGGCCACAGGCGAGATCGACTGACCAGGGGGGCCCTTCTTGGACTTGTGTTGAAACACAAAGGTACCCTCCCCATGTGGAGACAAGCCCGATTCCCAAGTTAGTGCTGTTGTTTGCCTTGTTGCTATTCCTTTCAGACAAATGAGGACAGTGAAGTCATGCTATAAGGCTACTAGTAATGAGAGTTGCCACTGAGAATCTCCACAAGATCCCGGGTGTTGGTCACACATGACTTCAGTTCCAAAAGGCTGAATCAGGTGTGTGTGGTTGTGGCTCCGTTCCAGGTCTTGCTCCCTCCCGCAGCTTCATACTCAAGAGACGACAGCCGAAAGTCGGCCTCGGGATAGTTGCTTGGGAGCGAGATTTGCCGTCACTTGCAACTTATTCTGCCAATTGTAAGGGCTCACTGCGTTGGCTTGGCTGTTTCTTACAATTAGTTGAGTCAGATGAAAAGGAATCAACGATCAAGAGGCCCTGTGTGTGTGTGTGTGTGTGTGTGTGTGTGTGTGTGTGTGTGTGTGTGTGTGTGTGTGTGTGTGTGTGTGTGTGTGTGTGTGTGTGTGTGTGTGTGTGTGTGTGTGTGTGTGTGTGTGGGTGTGTGTGTGTGTGTGTGTGTGTGTGTGTGTGTGTGTGTGTGTGTGTGTGTGTGTGTGTGTGTGTGTGTGTGTGTGTGTGTGTGTGTGTGTGTGTGTGTGTGTGTGTGTGTGTGTGTGTGTGTGTGTGTGTGTGTGTGTGTGTTGTGTGTGTGTGTGTGTGTGAGTGTGTGTGTGTGTGTGTGTGTGTGTGTGTGTGTGTGTGTGTGTGTGGGGGTGCGTGCGTGCGTGCGTGCGTGCGTGCGTGCGTGCGTGCGTGCGTGCGTGCGTGCGTGCGTGCGTGCGTGCGTGCGTGCGTGCGTGCGTGCGTGCGTGCGTGGCGTGCGTGCGTGCGTGCGTGCGTGCGTGCGTGCGTGCGTGCGTGCGTGCGTGCGTGCGTGCGTGCGTGCGTGCGTGCGTGCGTGCGTGCGTGCGTGCGTGCGTGCGTGCGTGCGTGCGTGCGTGCGTGCGTGCGTGCGTGCGGGCGTGCGTGCGTGAGTGCGTGCGTGCGTGCGTGCGTGCGTGCGTGCGTGCGTGCGTGCGTGCGTGCGTGCGTGCGTGCGTGCGTGCGTGCGCGCGGGCGCGCGCGGGTGCGGGTGCGGGTGCGGGTGCGGGTGCGGGTGCGGGTGCGGGTGCGGGTGCGGGTGCGGGTGCGTGTGCGTGTGCGTGTGCGTGTGCGTGTGCGTGTGCGTGTGCGTGTGCGTGTGCGTGTGCGTGTGCGTGTGCGTGTGCGTGTGCGTGTGCGTGTGCGTGTGCGTGTGCGTGTGCGTGTGCGTGTGCGTGTGCGTGTGCGGGTGCGGGTGCGTGTGCGGGTGCGGGTGCGGGTGCGGGTGCGGGTGCGGGTGCGGGTGCGGGTGCGGGTGCGGGTGCGGGGGCGGGTGCGGGTGCGGGTGCGGGTGCGGGTGCGGGTGCGGGTGCGGATGCGGGTGCGGGTGCGGGTGCGGGTGCGGGTGCGGGTGCGGGTGCGGGTGCGGGTGCGGGTGCGGGTGCGGGTGCGGGTGCGGGTGCGGGTGCGGGTGCGGGTGCGGGTGCGGGTGCGGGTGCGGGTGCGGGTGCGGGTGGGGGTGGGGGTGGGG